AAAGATTAAGCTGACATGGCAAAAATATTATTTGAGTATGTAGTAATATAATATAATGGAACTAGAGAATATTAACAAATATTATAGAATAATGAAGCGATGAATTAAGTGTAATAACAAAATGTAACAAGTCTCTTGACATATATGTTGTTTGTTGTAGTTGTTTATGTCTGTGTTTAGGAGTATAAGAAAATAATAAAAGTGTACCTTCGGGTACTTTAAAAAAAGTCATTCTGTTACTTTAGGAACATAAAATATGACTATGGACATTTTTACTTGGCATGAAATTATCACAACTAGCATATTAAAAATATAGTGTATCCAAACAATTATTACAAACAGAATACCCACTGAAATTTTCGGAAAAATTGAAAAAAATGCTACATTAGCATTTCTTTTGTCTTTTCTAGATTGAAAGTCATTCTGTTACTTTAGGAACATAAAATATGACTATGGACATTTTTACTTGGCATGAAATTATCACAACTAGCATATTAAAAATATAGTGTATCCAAACAATTATTACAAACAGAATACCCACCCACATGCAGAAACAAAACTGAAACCTTTTTATTTTCTTGTGACAATAGTACCTCCTAAAGGAAGAAATGCATCTTGTTCTTGCATTGGAGAGTTCAGTTTGTAACCTAGGACTTGCTTGTCCTCAGTGCACAGAAATTAGATCCATCTGATACCATAAATATTATTTAGAAATGATTTGGAAAATATTTGAACACCTTGTCTTAAAATATTTTATTTATCATGTTAAAATAAAATGTTCTATCATCACTTTTTTTTCTTTTCTTTTTTCCATTTTTCCAATTTTTCAGAAAAAAACAAAAAAGGCTTCAGGAAAACCCCCGGGAAAAATGGGTTTTCCCCTAATTTTTCCGGGTTTTTTCCAGGCCTTCACATCTCTACCCCTCCCCATAACAGACACCCTGTGAGGTGGGTGGGGCTGAGAGAACTCTGACAGAAACTGCTCTTTTTCAAGGACAGCTGTGCCAGAACTATGGCTTGCCCAAGGTCATCCAGCAGGTGCAAGTGGAGGCGTGGGGAATCAAACCTGGTTCTCCCAGATTAGAGTCCGCACACTTAACCACTACACCAAACAGCCCCCATCTCACGTGGCTTTTGGAGAGGAAGGTCCCATGATTCTCCTCCTCTGGGGGTCCAAGAGGATGCTTCCTTGCTTTTCCACCAGTAGAAAAGCTGTTTGGAGCCAACCCATCGTGACACGCTTGTTCAAGGAAACGCCTGTTTTCAGCGTGAAAATGCAATGCAAGGAAAGTTTGTTGTGATGAATTTTTGTGTCTCAGGCAGCAGCAGCACAAGCACAGAAGGTTGATGGGAACTTACTTGGAGACCATGTTAAATAGAAAGCATCTAAAATATTTATTGGCGATGATGATACACATGGTTCATTTCCGATCATAGAGAACTCAGCAGTCCTGTGCCTATTTTTAAGTTGTGGCAACTGCACAGGACAGGGGCTGTAAGCTCCGTGGCAGATCTCCTGCCTCGCATGCCAAGGGTCCCAGGTTCAGTCCCTGCTATCTCCCCCTTGAAAAGGCTCTCAGGCCTTGGAGGGACCCCTTGCTGAGATCTTGATGAGCTGTAGCCGGTACAGTGGGGGGGCAAGATGAATTAATGGTCTGACTCAAGGCAGCTTCATAGATTCCAGCGGAATGGTTTAAGCATCGCAAGATAGCCCTTGTTATCAGCAGAATAAATTATGCAAATTGCAAAGACGACATAAGCTGCCATTTGCTAGAGCTATTTGATCTGAGAATTCAATTATATGCCTTTGATCAGTTTATTAGTTCGTGGCTGCAAGCTCCATTAAGCTTCTGCAGAAGCGGTAGCGGCTTATTC